CTCTCTCTCTCTCTCTCTCTCTCTCTCTCTCTTGCGCGAGCACACTCGCCTACTCTCTCTCTCTCTCTCAATGCGTCGGGATGCCACGTGGCGTTCGCTGCCACGTGGCAGCGGCAGCAGTACAAGATGAAAAAAAAAAGAAAAAAAAAACGATCTCTCTCTCTCTCTCTCTCAGAAGTGGTAAGCTTCGGTGAGAAGAAGAGGAGGAGGAAGAAGAAGAAGAAGAAGAAGAAGAAGAAGAAGAAGAAGAAGAAGAAGAAGAAAGGAAGAAGAAGCAGAAGAAGAAGAAAGGAAGAAGAAGAAGAAGAAGAAGAAGAAGAAGAAGAAGAAGAAGAAGAAGAAGATGGCGACTTACCTGTGCGACGGGCGCTGCGGGCCACGGACGGCGCCCTCCTATTTTTGTAGAGGGGCGTATACATTTTTGGGCCCGATTTTGATTAGGCATTTACAGTAATTAGGCATCTCCTGGAATAAACTACGCGCGCCCTTGGATCACATGATCGTGATTGACAGGATCATTCCCTCCTCCTTTTCCTCCTCCTCCTCCTCCTCCTTTCCCTCGCGCCGTAGGCAGGGAAGTGGTTGGGGGGAAGGGGGGGGAAGGAGGGGGGAGGGAGAGGGAAGGAGGGGGGAGGGAGAGGAGTTGATAGATGAAGAGAGAAATGGCTGGAAGGCAGGACACGATGAAAAATTGGATAAGGTGAGGTAAGATAGAGAAATGGATTGGGGAAGAGGAAAAAAAAAAAAAAAAAAAAAAAGAAGGCTTGAATGGACTCAGTTGATTGAATCGATTCCATAGGTTCAGCAGATTCAAAGAATTTGGTTGATTGAATCAATTTTTTTTTATAATGTGTGTGTGTCTGTGCACGCGCACACACACACACACACACACACACTCACACACTCACACAGAGCAGGGGGGGAGGTGGGCAGTGTTCGGCAGGTATTCCCCATCCTCCCCAACTCTTTTCTTTTTTTTTCTCCCCCCCCAAAAAAAGGTAAAGAAAAAAGAAAGAAGAAAAGAAATAAGACCGGCCTTCCACCGAATGTCCTGACAGGGGCCCCCGAGCGATCGGCTGTTGGGCCTGGCATCCCGTTCGGCCTCGGCCGAACCCCGATCAGCCTGTTGTTGTAGATAGTATGATCAGACAGTCCATTGATTGAGAGGGGGAATGGCGCGGGGATCGAAGTTTCAACACGGAACAGCAACACATGAAATCGATTGGTCAACAACAGAGACTCTCGTCCGTCACCAGTGAAATGTTTTGGCCAATCCCGGACATTGAGAACGTCTTATCTTTTTGTTGACGGCCAAAAGGATTTCACTGTACTTTCACTGGAGGAG